GATAATCCTGGAGAGATGAGCACTGCCAGCGAGTCAGCCTGAGTCCCCGACTGCCAGCGACTATAAGGGCCGCAGATACGGCGGCGGCTCTGATGGAGGAGGAGAAGGAGGGGCCCACCTGATCATCCAGGCCTGCGGGGGCGGCGAGGAAGGCGGCGAGGAAGGCGGGGAGGAAGGCGGCGAGGAAGGCGGCGATGGCGGTGGTTGGGATGGCGGCGGCGGCATCTCTGTTCCACGCGAAGACACTTCCGAGTTCCGAGATGTCGAGGGCGGCGACTGGGGAGGCGCGGATGGCGGTGCGCCCGGGGGGGGCAAGGGTGGTGCCCCTGGCGGGGAGGGCGGGAAGCGTGGCGGGGGCGTCGGAGCCTTGTTGGGCGGGTACGGCGGGAGTGACGGGCTCGGAGGCGGAGCCCCCGGAGGGAAAGGCGGAATTTGTGGAGCCGGAATTTGTGTGGGCGACGGGGGCGTGAATATTCGGAACGACCGGCCGACGTCGGCGGGGCCTTCGGGGACCTTGCCGCACTCGAGGGGCAGGGTGCCCCTATTCACGCAATGTTCCCCCCAATCCGGCAGCGCGCAGTACTGGATTTTGTTCGCTTTGGAGATGAAGACCTTGCACGCCCGCTCGTCGACCGGGACGTCTTTGCACTTCTTCGTGTGATTTGTGATGTCTTCGTAGTCAACGACGTCGCACCCGGTGGGGTACGCGGCCCCTCCGGCGGCCGTGGCGACGATCAGCGCGACACTGGCGACAGCGGGCATTGCTGGACTTTGCTGGATTGGAGGCACTCGTGGGGCACTGACTTCGGCGTGCAATCGTGACTTCGGCTGTTGCGACTCGTGACTCCGGGCCAGCCGCCTTTCTTGTGCGCAAAAAATAAAAAGCACCCTTGTTTCAGCCCGAGGATATGTGGTAAATTTCAGCCCATCGAGGATATGTGACAATACACGACTCTACTGGAAATAGATTGATAAAGGTGAAGCGCTGTGGACGCGCTGTGGCTGCCCGCGTCCAACTCCGCGCTGCACGCGGCGGCCAAGGACGAGAGCACGTCAACGTCATCGGCACGCTGCTCTCTGCCCGCAGGTACTCTCCACGCGGGCATCGGCCCCGATACCCACACGCCCCGAGTGACCACAGTGAGGAGAGTAGGCACGCGCGACGTTGGGAACGCTTGTACACTACCTTCGGTGCGAGTCCACACCATAGGCGCGCCGATTGCCAACGTCGCACGTAGAGTCATGTAGCCTGTCTGGGTGGAGAGGGCTGTAGGCGCGCGACGTTTATTAGGGAGTCCCTGGGACGACTGAGGACTGTGTACACTAGCAGAACACACTACGACCGTACCTATAACGGGGGCTTGCCGTTGCTAGCGGGACGGCCTTGCGCAATCCCCCCAAACCACTTCAGCACGCTCCTGCTAGCTGGGCTTGCGCGCATCACGCAAGAGCGGCCGGGGGCCGCCGTCGGTAACTTAGATCGATTTAGAGCCTCTGTGCTCTCCTTATCTCTTTCAACCATCATGCATCAACGCAGCCTGGCGCGCGCGCGATCTCAGATTCGGTCATGCTGCACTGTATCAGTGTATCACCGGTTCCATCACGGGGATCACTCCGATCAGAGCGTGATGCCGGCGACCTGCTTGAGCGCCTCGCGGTACGCCGCCTCGTCCTTGAGCGGCTCGCGCTTCACCTCCTTGCCGTGCCGCATCTCCTTGACGTAATCCTTGCCCACAAAGTCAAAGCCCTCCTCTCTCATCATGATGCACATGCGCTTCTGCGAGAAGGGGTTCTGCTCGACGTCGGCGAGCACGCCCGCGATGCCCGCCTTGAACTCGTCGCAGTCAAGCGCGAGGTCGTCGTCGAAATTGACGAGGTAGACAGGCTCAGGCGGCGTCATCTCGGGCGCCGGAGGCGGCGTCTCGGGCAGCCCCACAAAGTCGACCATGACGCTGCCGCCGAAGCCGGACTTGCGGCTGCGCATGAGCACCTGGCCGCAGCGCTTCGCCATTTCGGGCGTCTGGCCAAAGGCCGACGGGTCGTCGTTGGGCGCGAAGCTGTAGGCATCGCCAATCATCGAGTCGGTCACAGTGCTGCCAAGCACGGCGGCCATCGGCTCTCTCGGCGCGTCGCCAAAGCCGGGGTCGACGTGCAGCGGCTGCGGGCCCAGCCCATCGACGAAGAGGGCGAGGTGGCCCGGGACCGGCCCGCCAGGAGTGATGACGTACGATATGGAGAGGCGGACCTTGTACCCGAGCGACCGCAGCAGCCATGCGAACGCAAAGTTGAGCTCGAAGCAGAAGCCGCCGCGGCGGTCGTACACGACCTTCTTGAGCGTCTTGTGCACGTCGAGGCTCGGGATGTGCTTGGCGGCGGGCACCGCCGCGACGCTGTCACCGAGCGCGGGGTGCGCGTGCTGGCCGAGGTTCTCGAACGGCACGGTAAGCAGGAAGGCGTGGAGCAGCTTGGAGAGGTCCTCCGCGCTAGGCTCGCGTGCGATGAGGGCCTCGGCCTCGGCGTACAGGCCGATGCGGTCGAGGAAGGCGAGGAGTGTGCACTTGTTGCCGGCGATCATCGACTTTTTTATCGATCAACACTTTCGATAGACCGAAAGTAAGATCGTTCGGTGCAGAAACCCCGGCACTGCCCATGTAATGTGCCTATCACAGTAGCCCGAGGACGGGGGGGGGGCGGGCCTCACCCGGCGGACTCGGGCCCGGTGCTTCGACGCAGCACAGTGTGCTTCGTGGTAGCATGAACTCAGAACGGCCCCCCGAGAGCGCCTCTTCGACGCCCACGGGTCCCGGGAGGTCGGAGGGGTTGCGAGAGGGCCCCGGCTATTTTTTGTTTGAATCCCGGAGGCCGTTAGAACATGAATTGACGTTCCACGTGCCCGTCCACAGCCACGGACAACATGCTAGCCCAGCAGGCCGCTCCCACCGCCGCCCGCGGCGGAGGCAAGGCGGCAAAGGGTGGCAAGGGCGGCGGCAAGGGCGGTGGCAAGGGTGGTGGCCGTGGCGCACCAGACCCGCTTTGCGCCGCCGCCCTCAACGCCCGATACTCGGTTAGAGCCGGCGGAGCGACGGCGGCAAAGGTGCGGCCGCCGGCGACCTCACACGGTGTCGAGCGCCGTAGAGACGGTCCCGAGAGCCGCCACCAGGTGTGCCACGACCGCGGCCGCGAGGCTCGTGGCGATGGATGCGCCAGACCCGCTTTGCGCCGCCGCTCTCAACGCCCGATACTCGGTCAGAGCCGGCGGGGGCGACGGCGCAGCCTCGGGACCCGCGCCCGGCCAAGACATGGCGGATCACTGGCGGCAGCTGTGGGTCGTCTTTGGGCGCGGGAGTGACGAGCCGTCGGCAGCGGCTGGGCCGGCGGCGGCGGCGGCGGCGGCGGAGGTGGAGGCGAGGGCGGCCGGGGGAGCGGGCACGGGACCAAACGGCTTGCGGGCGAGTCAGGCGGCCGCGGCGGTCGAGAAGGCGGCGGCAGTGCTCGAGCGGGCCGTCGACGAGCTCAGGCTGGCGGCGGAGGACGACCCGGAGTCGGAGGCGGCGAAGGAGGCGTCACTCGCGGTGGAGGAGGCGGCGGAAGCGGTGGACGAGGCGAGGATGTCGGTACTGGCCGCGTCGGCAAAGCTGTCCTCCGGCCGCCTGTCGGGGGAAGCGGCAGCGCCGAGGACGTCGCGCTCATCCTCTCGCCGCTCCTCTGGCGCGACCATACCTTTCCCATAGAGAGCGTGTAGGGGCGCCCGCGCCCTCGCACGCACAGTCGGGAGGCAGGCGGAGTTTGGCAGCAGACCGCAGCCCTCGCATGCCACCGTCCTGCCGCGTGGCCGGTGGCGGCGGAGGCGGCATCGGGAGGCGGCCCAGTTTTATTCTGGCAGTCGTGTGTGGGTCTGTCCAATTCATACACAGCGCGAGCCCCACGCGCTGCGTGAGCCAGTTACGAAATCGAAAACGTTCTCGCAGCGCGCGGCGACGACTATTCGAAATTTCACCTGCGGAGTGCGGTGCGCGCCTCCCGCCTGCGCGCCGTGCCGCGTGCGCGGCCGTGTTGGCGCCGAGGCGCGAGGGTGCAGGGTGCGCGCGCCGGTGTGGATCGCACCACTCTCGCAGTCGCACAGAAACAAGGGGCCAAACACACGTATTGTGAGCTCAACAGGGTCTGACACCGGGGGTGCGATTGCAAGCATGTGATCAAGCTTGGTTTCACACTCACGGTCTCACAGTGTGCCGGCAGGGTCGCCAACTATGTCCTTCACAGTCACGCTGGCATCAAGCCGCGCAACGGCAGCGTGGCGCCCGGCCTAGCAGCCGCTTGACCGTGGCGAATGTGGCCTTGCCTGATCCGAAACTCTTGTTGTAGAACTCGTACTGCACCACCAACGACGGGCACGGCGGAGCTGTCTTCCACCGCCCTCGCCATGGCGCCTCCAGGGTGGAGCCGGTCTGCACACAGGGGCGGCCACGGGCGGGCCCTCAGACCGCGGCGCCGGTCTCCGCGAGGCAGCACACAGCCAAGGGGGAGGCGCGGGCTGCCCAGCCCCCCCGACTGAGGCCCCCCAAGGCCAACGCACCCCCCCGACTGAGGCCCCCCAAGGCCAACGCAACCCCCCGACTGAGGCCCCCCAAGGCCAACGCACCCCCCCGACTGAGGCCCCCCAAGGCCAACGCACCCCCCCGACTGAGGCCCCCCAAGGCCAACGCACCCCCCGCGGGACGAGTTGTAGCAGTCTATCGAGCAGACGGCTTCGTTCGTTAGATACGAAGCTGCCCCCAGCAGGCGTCTTGACGGGTATCAAAATTTCTTCCCTACAGAGAGGCCAACGGACCCGAGAAATCGAGTCTCGAAATTTCCGAATCAACGAGGTGAACCCTCTCGACCCTCGACGCCACGACTCGAGATTAGATTTTGCTTACACGATGTAACATAATGACGTTTTACTTTTAGCCTTCCCCCTTCTAGGGCACCATCCCCACCCCCGCTCCAAGCCCCTTGCCAAGCGCCCCTTCGCCTTCCCCGGTGCGAACGCAAGTGAGATGGCCGTAGAGTGCCCCACACCTGCATGCCCCACCGCCGTATGTGCCAAGATGCAAGAAGCCTCACCTCACCCTACCGCTCAGATGTAGCGCAGATCGACGTAGACCGCCTTGATCGGCTGAAGCGCCGCAGCTAGCTCGTCGTCGCCCTTTTCCTTGAGCACAGGGTAGTCGTTGCGAACCGCGTCCCAGACGTCCCCGTCCGGGTCAGCTTGGGGGTTGCGCAACAGGCTAGCGAAAGTGGTTGGGCGGCCAAACACGTCGAGGAGGCCGAGTGGTGCGACTCCCGACTCGCGCCAGCTTAAGAGGTACTCTGCCGGCTTGCGAGCGCTCAAGCTCACGCCCTGCAGTGCCGCTAGCTCCATCTGGGTGAAGGGTGCCGGTTTTGCGCGTGCACCGCCGTCAGCGACCATAGGGCCGTCTCCGAGTTCTTGGCCGTAGGCCGTCGCCGGTGCAGCCGGTATAGGTGACGCGATGAACGCCTCGCCTGCGAGCCGTGCCACGGCGGTGCGGGTGCGGGCTGGCCGGCCGAGCCGTGCCACGGCGGTGCGGGTGCGGGCTGGCCGGCCGGCAGGCAGGCTGAGAGCAAGCAGAAGCATTATGGCACCGGATCGACACGAGAAAAAGAATTTAAACAAGACAACTCTCTCTCACAGCAGACAGGCTCGACACAGGTGCGAACTGGCGCGTGCTAGTACTATCACCGGCACACCACCGGAGCCGCCTAAGCGACTCCGTTAAGAACGGCAATGCACTTAGCTCCGTGCACAATGCCGCTGTCCCCGCACGCTAGCTCGTTCACCGTCTGCCACGCCACGGCGGTGTGGAGAACGACAGACAAGCGCTGCATCTGCAGCCCGTGCCAGTTCTTGGTGGTCCATGTGACCTCATCGAGGTGCTGAGCGTGCGAAAGTTTGTTACTCAGCTGGTCCGCCGCCTGCCGAAGAATTCTGCGGACGCCGTCCCCGAAGCCGCCGAACGTCTCGAAGTCGAGCAAACGCAGGTCGCAATTCTTCTCCCGCGCGAACCGGTATTCGCCCTTCTCGTAGCGGGCCGTCACAGGTGCCCCCGCCTCCGCCTCCCCCTCACTCTCCCCCTCCTCCTCTTCCGCCGCCGCCGCCTCCGCCTCTGCATCCTCCGCCTCCCTCCCCCCCTCCCCCCCCCCTCCCGGCCGCGGCCATGCAGCATGCCCTAACACTAAGTCGAGCAGCGCCCGCTCGGTGTTGCCGAAGGCGACAAAAGCCCCCTTCCAGCCGAGCCGATCGCCACCCTTGCACGCAAGCGAGCTCGTCAGTTTCAAGTCGCCAACGAGGCGCACATGCCCTTTGCCGATGTTCGCCGCCGCCACGTCAGGTTGTTTTGGGTTACTGTAACTGAGGTGTGCAGTCGGCTCCATCTCGATGAGCATGCCCCACGCCGAGCGAAGGGTCTTGACGAGTCGTTTGAGCAGGTATTTGTGTCGTGTCGCGTGCTTCGCACGCGGGTTGACCATTGCGGCATCGCCGAGTTCTTCGTGCGGCTATAAACGCGACTGTTTTGTATAGAGAGCATCTGCACCATACAGACCCTCTCTGCACACACAGTGCACTCTTGGGTGGGATTATGTATTCCGCACCTGCATTGTGCATTCTGTACGACTTTTTTTGGCCTCTCCTACCTATATTGGGCGAGTTTTTGCATTCTGCACCTGCATCCTGCATCGGTACTCTGTCCGCTCTCTCCTGGCTGTGGGTGAGTTTTTGCATTCCGCACTCTGCATCCTGCATCCTGCACGTCTCTCACTGCTGTAGCTTTGGGCCCGCTTCTGCATTCTGCATTCTGCATCTGCATCCTGCATCGGGTGCAGTTCACAGCTTTGGGGCCGATTCTGCATTCTGCATTCTGCATCTGCATCCTGCATCGGGTGCAGTACACAGCTTTGGGGCCGATTCTGAATTCTGCATTCTGCATCTGCATCCTGTGAGGGGAGGAAACGGGAACATATGTGCGATTCAACACATATAAGTCCGTTCCGGACACCAGGATTTAATATCTGCGCTCCTTTTTCGCATGGACAAGTCTACGGCGGATGATAGTTCGCCAGAGCTCACACGCTGTTGCCTAGGCCCTGCCGGGGGCTGCTATGTGCGACCGCTGGGCCGCGTCGCGCCGTTGGCGCTCCTCAGCGCTCAGGAGGTGATTAGCGCGGAATGCAGAAGCGGCCATCGAATCGGACCCAAACAAAGCTGTGCACTGCACCCCATGCAGGATGCATATGCAGAATGCAGAATGCAGAATGCAGAGCCGGGCCCAAAGCCAGATGCCTTCACCCGATGCAGGATGCAGGATGCGGATGCAGGATGCAAAATCCGGGCTCAAAGCTGTGAGCTGCACCCAACGGACAAACTCTTTGGGTCTGATTTTGCATCCTGCATTCTGCATCCTGCATCCTGCACCATGCAGAAGAACCCATTTTGGGGCCGATTCTGCATGCCATCCTGCATCCTGCATTCTGCATGCTGCACATACAGAGTAATCATTTTGGGCTGGGTTTTGGAGGGGCCGCACATTGTTGGGTACCCCCCCTGCACACTTAAGCCCATGGCCGACCCCCCCCCCAGCAGCAGCGTTTTGCTGCTGGGGGGGTCGGGACCCCCCCCCCCCAGCAGCAGCGCTCTGCTGCTGGGGGGGTCGGGACCCCCCCCCAGCAGCAGCGCTCTGCTGCTGGGGGGTGCTGGCATCTCTGTACAGACAGCAGCCGTAAGTAGCATGCGTTCGAGTTGCGAGAATTTATGGTCGGCATCAAAATCAGTGGTCTCACCGGCGGGGCCTCCTACTGCCAACCGGGCGGTGCGGGGCACGCCCGCCTCTCACTCTTCTACGCCTCTCGTGCCTCGCGGTGCCTCTGCTTCAAGGAGGGAAGATACGGCTCTCGCAGCCCATCATACGCCGTGGCACAGCGGAGAGCACAGCGGGCTGTACAAGTCCATCGGATAGTGCTCAATATCTTCGCATGCTCGTCGTTGGTGATATCCGCGCGAGGTCATACGCCACAGGCCAGCAATCACTCGGTGATGAGACTCATTGATGTAGGCGCGACGCCCGAGTGAGTGGCTCACTATACGCGCCTACGTAGTATGTGTGTGGTAGTACAAGATAGACTCACCATTGTCACAAGTCTTTAGTAAAACGCCAAGCACTCGACACGACGAAGGTGTATTGGGCTCGAAGGCGCGGTGAACACAACCGCCTCGAGCGTACCGCTCAAACACGAGCCGAGGGGGCGGGAGGGGGGGCGGCGGGAGGCGGGAGCTGGGTCCAGTGCGCTCTGCTGCTGGGGGGGGTCAGACCCCCCCCCCCCCCTAGCAGCAGGGACGGGCTTAGAGGTGCAGGGGGGGGGTACCGAGCAATGTGCGGCCGCTCCTAGCTCGGGCATTCTCGATTCTGCATTCTGCATATCTGCATTCTGCATTTTCAGAGAAATACGGAATGTAGATCAGCCCATATTTCTCTATGCAGAGGCTAATCCATGCAGACTGCAACCTGCATGCTACAAGAGTGGGCTCCACTCCCGATACAATAACGAATTTGCTAGTGCATGCATCTCTACCACTTTCATCTCCCCACCTCCTCCATCTCGCTCCCTCTAGCCCCCGTGTCCCGTCCCGCCCCTGCACCCCCCGCCGAATGCGCTCGCCGCGGGGCCGTCTCGGGAAGATCGCATCTTATCCCGAGGCTCGCCGTCCCAGACGCGGAGAGATGCGCGCGCTCGTCGAGCCAAGCGCCGCCCTTGCGCAGCCTCTCCCGGGGGGGCGGCGGAGGGGGCGGCGAGCGGCGGAGGGTGTGGACGCGGGCGGGAAGATTGACTCTCGCGTCTCGGCGGCGGTGTCTCGCCTCGAGGTAGCCGCAGCCGTCCGCCTCGACGGAGCGTGGGATGCGGATCGAGCAGCCGCGGTTGGCGACGCCGTACGAGAAGGTGTTCATGTCGGCCGTCTCGTGCTTGCCGGTCAGGCGGCGCTCGTTGCCCTCGCCGTATGCGGCGATGTGGGCCGAGTGGCGCGCGCCCAGCTGGCGGATGGCCTAGAGAAACCAGAAGGAGGATGCACAAGAAACACGTGGGCCGCTTGGCGCGCGCCCCTGCTGGCGGGGGGGCCGTGTCGATGGCGGCGCGGCCGCCAGCCTTGCGCATCTTCTCGGTGGAGAAGTTGGTGTGGCAGCCGGCGCCGTTCCAGTCGCCGTCGATTGGCTTCGGGTCGAAGGTGCAGTAGACGCCGAAGTCCTCGCACACGCGCTGCAGGATGTAGCGCGAGACCTGCGGCGCAGCGCGCGGCTGTGGGGGGGGGGGGTAGCTCCTGCGGCCCGGTGCTGCCTTCTCAGCTCAACGGCCGGAGTATCTCGGCGACATCTCGGCGACATCTCGGCGACATCTCGGCGACATCTCGGCTACATCTCGGCCATCAGCTCGTCGGCCGCGGCGATGCCGACACACGGCCCAACCTGCGGCAGAGGCGTGGGGCAGGGCAAGGTGAAGGCAGGGCAAGGTGGCGGCGGGGGCAGGGCAAAGTGAAGGCAGGGGCAGGGCAGGGTGAAGGCAGGGGCAGGGCAAGGTGAAGGTAGGGCAACAGTGACGGCGGGGGCAGGGCAAGGTGAAGGCGGGGCAAGGTGAAGGCAGCGCAAAGCATCTGGGCGGCATCTGTGGGGCCGACCTGGTACTCCCACTGGCCGGGCATCACCTCGGCATTGGTGCCCGAGATGGCGATGCCGGCGTAGAGGCAAGCCTTGTAGTGCGCCTACACAAAAAGAAAGACGCCGCTCCACCAAAGGAATGCCGAGCCCGCGACGCGCACGCCGTGTGGTGCGCTCAGGGCGCGTGGCGTGCGCCAGTCGGCGGAGTGTCTTGTCTGTGTGGTCGGTGTGACGCTCCAATGTGGCCGTCCTCTCCGCCTCGCATAGCGTCCCACCCCACGCTAGCGCCGCAGTGACCAGGTCACCGGTCAGCCACTGTGGCTGTTCACCGTTCCGACTACCTAACTCGCGCGCCTCGGAGATGGAGCGGCCGAAGGAGCGGTCGGCGCCAGCGCCGCAGTAGTACGGGCCCTGCGCGCCCGGGAAGCCGCCCTGCGGCCACAAAGCAAGGTCGCGTCAGGTTCACGTCTCCCCACACACACACACACACACACACACACACACACACACACACACACACACACACGAGGCGGCGGGGCAAGGGCCGGGCTAGTCCCTCGCGACTCCACGTCTGGACGACAGGAGCCCCCCCCGCGGCATTATAGTGCAAGGCCCGGTGCGCGTTGGTGAGCGGTGTTAGTGTGAATGCGCAACGCCGTAGGACGTGTTTGCTTCTCAGTCACAGGTCTGTGAACCTGCGGCCATCCGAGCGGCGTGACCTTGTCCAGGTTGAAGAGCGTGTACTTCTTGCTCGATCCCGAACCAAG